GAAGCGGCGGGAGCACGCCAAGGCGTCGCTGGACAGGTACATGTTCTACTACGAGCGCTGGATGACGCACGGCTCGTCGATGAAGAAGGCGCGGCAGGACCTCGACCGCCTGGAGGGCGGAGCGCTGAGGGGTTTCGCCGAGGCCAACGGCGTGTCGCAGGCGGAGCTGGGCTGTCTTGAAGAGGCGTTCGCGCTGATCGTCGAGTCCCGGCGGGTGCTGAGCTGGACGTACCCGTTCGTGTACGGTGTACTACATGGACCCGGTGCGCGACAGGAAGAAAATCGAGCTGTGCCTGCACATCCAGAGCGAGGCCGCACAAGTGCGTCGAGGGGGAGTGGAACGAACTGAAGGGGACAGCCGCCGCCCCTGGCGCTGAGTTCGACGCCGCCTCTGCCGCTGAGTTCGCCGCAGCGTTTAAGGAGTACATGTCGAAACTATTTGTCCTCAACACAGCGACGCGAAACCACTTGAAAAAACTCGTGGAGGGCTTCGAGTCCGGCCTGCCCGAGTTCAAAGTGACCTTGTGACTGATGAATGTAAACGTGGGGGCTCAATTGCTGCGTGTCCCTTTTAATTGTTTATATGCTTCTTCTGGCCGATCATTTTTTTTTTGTCTCTCCCAAGTCAACAGCCTATATATGTGATTTTTGTGTGCGAATCAGTGTGATTGTGACGAGGCTGCTGCATGCTTCAACTTTACATGGTTACGGCTCCGGCTTCGTTCATGGAGGAGCGGGAGCTAAAGCCAACTGACCACCGAACGAACTTTATAATGATAGTGTAGCTGATGATTGTAAGTTTGTTTAGCAATTGTATAGGTAGCAACATCCAAACCTATATATATTATAAGTAATAACATCAAATGGTTAAACTTTCCTTCTTAATGGCAATAATGCGCAAATCTTTTGCGAGGAAAAAAAAAAGTAATACCATCCAAACCTATAGAAGAGGTCCGGGTGTGGCGGAGGATGGTGGCGGCCTAAGAGTCGACGGCCAGTCCTCAACATGGAGAAGGCGGATCCAGCGGAGGGAGGCACTTGTGTCCTAGGGGTGGCGGCAACTTGGGAGTCCGAATACCTCCTCGAAGGCGGCGGTGGCTACCCTATGGGCAGCGGCGGCCTGAGAGCCGGTGATGATCTCGATGAGGAGGAGACGGATCAGGTGGAGGCGGATCTCGTCAGTAGCGGCGGCCCTAGAGGCGGTGGAGGCTAGGGAGTTTGGCAGAAGAGGATATCCTCGGCGGCAGCGACAGAGGACTCTGGCTGAGGTGACGACCATAATCCCAATGACGGCGGCTGCCTTGGAATCCGACGAAGCGGAAGCGGATTCGCATCAGCGGAGGTCCTTAGTGTAAGTTGATTATGTTCTCCCTTCTAAAGTCAAATGTTTGTGTTCCCTTGTGTATGGTATTGAGGATGTTGGAGGTTAATTCGATGCAAATAATCAACTTAAATCCTAGAGTTGTTTGAGAAAGAAGAATAAGTTCCTCGAATATTTAAATAAAAAATATATTAGAGAGAAAATAATTTTCTTCTATAAAGACGACCTACATAAGTTTACCACGTTACAAAACTCTAAACGACAAAGATCTAGGAACTAAGCATCAAGGACACAACCTAGTGTGTGAAATAGCTAGCATAAAAAGCTGTCCAAGTTGAATCTGGCACAATCTGGATCATAGGCCTTACATCCCACCAGCGGAACTGCCAATACAATGGTTGAACCTGGATGCACCCCAAAGTAGGAGTGGACACTTTTCCCAAAAAAATCAATCACTAAATTGGACCAAAGTGAGGGTTGACACTTTTTGCAAGTCTGGTGCTCTGTTTTAGGTCTGAACCGAACTGAACGACTGATACACCAATAGCTTGGAAGACTAAGGCACTAAGGCAGCCATCGCACAGCCTAATTCGGCCTCTCGGCCCAATTAGGCGTCTTGGTACACGTCAAGGCTACTTCATTTCCGCAAACCTACACCCCCACAACCTCACTTCATTCCCTAGTTGCCATGTGCCTTCCTCAAACCTTAACCCTATCCCAATGGTATGTCGGTGGCCACGTCGATGATAGGACAGTGCGATATAGCGCATCCAACCGAGCCTCAAGCTTTTTCTTTTTCTTTTTTTTGGTGGGGGGGTGGGGGGGACTTTTTTTCAAGCACGGGGAGCAGTGGCGATATGGCACATCCGCCTCAAGATCAAGTAGGCGGTGTGTTTGCACATCCAGCCGAGCCTCAAGCATTGGGGATGACTCGACGACGATGATGTTCACCGCTGGAGCATCGGCGTAGTGGCGATATGGCACATCCGGCCTCAAGAGTCGGTGTCAACTAGGTGACGATACTTTACATGACGAGTGAGGGGACATTGGCCCTGTTTGGTATAGCTTATCTGGGAAGCGCTTCCCAGATAAGCTGCATAAATAGAGTAAAAGCAGCGGTCAAAATAAGCTGGTCTGATCCAGGAATAAGCGTGGCCATAATAAGCTGCTGAAAAGCGTGGCGTTTGACTATTGATTTCAGCTTACTTTGCATAAATAGAGTAAAAGCAGCGGTCAAAATAAGCTGGTCTGATCCAGGAGTAAGCGTGGTCATAATAAGCTGCTGAAAAGCGTGACGTTTGACTATTGATTTCAGCTTACTTTGAGCATAAGCAGCTTATAAGCTCTACCAAACAGGCCCATTAGCAACGGTAGCAAGCAAACCGAGAAGCCAACACTGTATTGGTTGGTTTTTTGTTCTATCAAAAACCAATCGGCTTGTAAAAAGTGCAAAAACTGATGAAATCAAATTGGTTTAACCGATTAATCGTCCAGCCCAACCAAAGTCCAAACGGACGCTTGCATCCCAGCTTGCGTCACCGAGTGGAAGGAAGCATCGACCGACATCAGACGCCGAAGTGACGCACTCGGAGCCTTGGATACACCTACGACTGAACTTGGCTTGGTATGTTTCAAAAGTCACAGCTCGTAGCCCCTGCTCGCATGGCGTGGTGGAGACGGATACGCAGCTGCAGCTTGACGAGCACGAAAGCGTCGCTGGACGTCTTGCTCTTGCCCCCATCCGTATCCGCTGGAATTGATTTGATGCAAGCTTAAGGCGTCCGTTTGTCAATTCCATTAATAATAAAATAAATAAAGGGAGGTGGCAAGGTCTAGCTCCGTGTCGATTTTGCCACACCATGCAAAATTCAAGTGGTAAGTACCTTATTCTCGAAAAGAAAAGAAAAAGTGGCAAGTATCGTTTTCGTTTCAGAGAAAACGCAACATGTGCTGCGTCAAGTCAGACGCTGAGCGCCGGTTTTGCTATTTTTCGGCGAGTGTTCGAATCAAGAGCCTACTCTAGACCACTAGCTGCTCGTCGATCTTGGGAGGTCAACATCATGATTTGAGATTTGAGAGCGAGAGCTCGTGAGGGCGAAAGAAAACCGTGATCTGCCATCTAAATTTCAAGTTTTTTCACTCTCTCTCCATCACATCAATTTTTAACCGCTTGCATGGAGTATTAAATGTAGGTAAAAAAATAACTAATTACACAGTTTAGTTGGAAATCACGAGATGAATCTTTTGAGCCTAGTTGGTCTAAGATTGAACAATATTTGTCAAATAAGACGAAAGTGGTACTATTCATCGGGTTAAAAAAATTTACAAAGTGAACAAGGCCTAGATGAAGTGGTGGGCCTCGAACCAATTTATAGGTTGTCAAATAAAAGGAAAACATAGAAATTTTTGGAGAATCTTAATCCTGTAGAAAATTTCTCTCTCTGTCTCACTGGAATGATTATTAAATCTTACAAAAATTCTTTCACCGAGGATATGCTGGTCTTTTGCCAAGCTCTCATTTGTCCTTGCCCCCCTCTTTCTCCTCCTTCCTAATAAAGGGCCTGTTCGCTCGGAGGAATTTGGATGGTTTGGAGGAATGCTGGAGGAATTTATGAGAGAAAAACACTATTTCGAATGAAAAAAAGAAGCGGATCAAGCCGAATTTAAGGGAACGCGAACAGGGCCAAAGTATAAGTGATACAAGGTCTTGTACCAAGTTACAAGGTATTATGGGTCCTCAACCCTCTGTCTCCTATGTTTTTTGTAGGAAATATTGATAAATATTTTAAACTTGATATCATATACAAAGTCACCTGATAACTAAGAAAAGTAACAACTTAACTATTCTCTCCATCCTAATTAGGAGGGGCAAGGTGGTCTTTAACTAAGCTTTTTTATTTCGTGTGATATGTAAATCGCTTTGATGTCTTATATTTTAGGACGGACGGTATAAAACCATATATGAATTTCGGACCTCATAAAAACTTTGTTATGTGTTCTATCTCTCTTGGAATTCCCGTGTTTTTCAATGTTAGCTTCAAAGACTGCAATGGAAACTTTTCAATATATTGTGTCTAACTCTAATCCTATATTTTTCCCATTTACTCCTATATCTATGTTCTAATTATATACTCACTCCTATTTAATATAAGACTACTAAATGCTGCGTTGTAAGGAGGTGTGTGACGGTCACAAACTCACACCGAACACATACGCCATACTGGACGTGTCACCGTCCGGCACCGTGCAGATACAGAGGCCGCTGTGGTCGGCCCCCGTACCGAGACCGCGAGCGCACAGCGCCAGAAACACACGATTCGGGTACAGATACAGAGGCCGCTGGCTTAACGGCAGCCACAAAGCGAGCCGAGCCAACCCCGCGCCCGGTCCCATCGCCATTGCATTGCCCCGACGGCCCGACCCGAAGGCCTACTCGCTCGCTGCTCGCCAAACCCGACTCCGTCTGCTTGGCGCCCGGCTCGCTCACTCGTCCCGCCGCCCGGACTCGCCGCCTCCTCAGCCTGCAGCCACCGCCGCCGCCGCGGCGGCACGCCCGCGCCGCATAAAACTTCCCGTGCCTCGCCGCCGGTGCCGCAACCCCCTCGCGCTCACGCGCGCGGGCATCTCCGCCTCGATCCCATCGGAACCAGACACGACACGCCCTGCCCATCAAGCCGCGATGGACTCGGCGGCGGCGCTGAAGCCCTCGGCGCTGGACCTGCTGGCGGCGCTGTTGACGGGGCGGGACCCCGAGGGCGGGGCGCACTGGGCGTCCTCGCTCGCCGAGAACCGCCCCCTCCTGCTGCTGCTCACCACCTCGCTCGCCGTGCTCGTCGGCTGCGGCGTCGCCCTGCTCGTCCGCCGCTCCTCCGCGCCCCGCGCGGCCGCGGCCGCGGCCGCAGCACAGGCGCCGCCGCGCTCGCTCGCCGCGAAGCCCAAGGACGAGCCGGACCCCGACGACGGCAGGCAGAAGGTCACCGTCTTCTTCGGCACGCAGACCGGCACCGCCGAGGGCTTCGCCAAGGTTCCTATTGAAACTCTGCTTGCTCTGTTTATGGTTCCTTCTACAGACTACAGCCAGAGCTCGGCGCTTTGCTCTTGTTTGCTCCGCTTGATAAGATCGGATTTGACGGCACTTTTGGGCGTGGATATGTAGGCACTCGCCGAAGAGGCCAAGGCGAGGTACGACAATGCCGTCTTCAAGGTGGTCGATCTGGTATGTTGCCGAGGCTTCATCCTTATGCTGCCGCTCAAAATTTCTTGCTTCTGTCAGCTCGTCTCTTACAATTCATACATGTACTCCCTTGGGGTTCAGGAAGATTACGCCGCTGAGGATGAGGAATACGAGGAGAAGCTCAAGAAGGAGAGTATCACATTGTTCTTCCTGGCAACGTAAGAATTGGGGCTGTACGTGGTTAAGTTAGTTAATCAAGCCTGGGGAAAGTATGAATTTCGTTTTCGGTGAATTGCCAACGTGTGTCTTGTTGCTGTCGTTGCAGCTATGGTGATGGAGAGCCAACTGACAATGCGGCGGGTTTTATAAATGGTTCTCAGAGGTTAGAATACAAATGTACTTTTTTGGATGCACTTGTGCATGAGTCTTTGGTACTACTTATTGATTGCCTCTTTTTTTGGTTTGGCTGCAGGGGAATGAGAAAGGCGAGTGGTTGAATAATCTTCGGTTTGGGGTGTTTGGCCTCGGAAATAGACAGTACGAGCACTTTAACAAGGTTTGTTGGTGTGTCTACATTGATTGGATGCATGTATGAACTCTGATTTGTACTTATGCTATTCTTGTTGCCAATTCGTTATGAACTGAAGGTTGCAAAGGTGGTTGATCAACTCCTCGCGGAACAAGGTAACAAAAATCTCTGGCCACATCAATGATTCTTGCATACTACAGTATGTATGTATGTATGTCTGTGCTCCCTGAAAGTTCTGCATGCCACTCTAGTCATAGGTGGAATTTCTTTTAGAATGCATATCAAGCGTAAACGATGTCGTGGGTGACCATGTGCATTGTAAACACATTGCATTTTTATTCGTGTTGTTTTGCAATACTGCTTAATACATGCTTAAAGAGTTGAATATCTGTTTTTTTATGGCTGCCTGAGTGGAACGTTTACCCTTTGTATATAAAAGCCAAATCAACCCTTATTTTTCAAAAATGACTGACCAGCTGTTTCACAATGTAAATAATATTCTTCAGTGAGATACATTGGATCTTTTGCATTATGTATTGTGGATTACATGCCTTTTCCAGTTAACTTGTGTTCTTGAACATTCGAGGGTAATTAATTCCTGTCCTTTTAAATCTCATCTAGGTGGCAAACGTATCGTTCCTGTTGGTCTTGGAGATGATGATCAATGCATTGAGGATGACATTAACACATGGTATGAATCCCAATGAACTTAATTGTGGTCTCAATTTTTGAACTGAGGCGTGGATTTCATTTTTTCCTGATTATTCATCTGGTTTATCTTGCGTGTAGTGCTTCTGCTTGCAGACATATCCCAACTTTTATCTCAATATATAGTAGACTATGGTCTGTTTGCTTTGACACTTGTACACTGAAGCTAACGCCTTCTGTTGGCTCCTCTGATTAAAGGAAAGAACTTCTGTGGCCAGAATTGGATAAGTTACTCCGTCAGGAAGATGATTCTTCAAGTGCACCAACTTCTTACACAGCTGCTATTCCAGAATATAGAGTTGTGTTTGTCAAAGCAGAGGATGCCATGCACATTAACAAGTCTTTTACTCTCACTAATGGCCATGCTGTCTATGACATTCAACATCCTTGCAGGTATGGATTTTTTTCTCACTTTCATATGCCTAGAAATTTGCTGTGCCTGTCGTATGAGCTGATGCAGATCATGCTTTTCTTGCAGAGCAAATGTGGCTGTGAGGCGAGAGCTTCATACACCAGCTTCTGACCGATCCTGCATTCATTTAGAGTTTGATATTACTGGAACTGGCCTAAAGTAAGTATATTCGATTAATTCGACCTGGTAATTCTGAAAATAGTAGTAGACAATAGACATGCATTATTGTTAAATTGGACTTCAGATTGCTGATGAGTCCTCTTTACCTATCTAGATATGAGACAGGAGATCATGTTGGTGTCTATGCTGAAAACTGCATCGAAACTGTCGAAGAGGCAGAAAAGCTGCTAGGTTATTCACCAGATACTTTATTTTCTATTTATGCTGACCAAGAGGATGGTACCCCACTTTGTGGGGGTTCTTTGCCACCTCCTTTCCTGTCCCCTTGCACAGTGAGGACTGCGCTTACCAGATATGCAGATCTGTTGAATTCGCCTAAGAAGGTGAACTTATGTTTATTTCTTTTCATCCATTTGTTAATGACATTTTCATTCACATTAATGTTATTTCTGCAATGGCTGTTGTAGAGTGCTTTGTTGGCGCTGGCGGCTCATGCATCTGATTCCAAAGAGGCTGAGCGGCTTAGACATCTCGCATCTCCTGCTGGAAAGGTTTGTTGGTAAAATATATTAATATAGTTTCTGATGTTGATGTTGTATTTCACAGTCTGACAGTGTCTCACATTAATTTCATTGGCAGAAGGCGTATTCACAATGGATAGTCACAAGCCAAAGAAGTCTCTTGGAAGTTATGTCAGAGTTCCCATCAGCAAAGCCCCCACTCGGTGTTTTCTTTGCAGCTATTTGTCCTCGCCTGCAGCTGAGATACTACTCAATATCTTCCTCACCGAGGTACCCATGACTCTAAATAATACCTCGTTTAAAATTTCAAATTGATCGGTCAGTTAGGACTGAAATTATATTGCTACAGAATAGCACCAACAAGGATTCATGTGACATGTGCACTAGTATATGGGCCAACCCCTACTGGAAGAATTCACAAAGGAGTTTGTTCTACTTGGATGAAGGTACAATGTTGCCTACTGTTTCATATTTAGAAGCCATTTTGTTCCTCTCTTTCTTCTGAGACGAATCTTGAAATGGAGATGTACTAATTTATAACAAATATAATTACGTAAGTGTATTCAGGTAAATCTAATGCTTTCAAGTTACTTGTATCACTCATCATGTCATCCAGTAAACATTTTAGTATGCTTATCCTACTTACAGCATTCCACTCCCTTGGAAGAGAGCCAAGAATGTAGCTGGGCTCCAATTTTTGTTAGGCAATCAAACTTCAAACTGCCTGCTGATCCTACTGTGCCCATTATAATGATTGGCCCTGGGACTGGTCTGGCACCTTTCAGGGGCTTCTTACAGGTTTGTTTTTTTGGTTTTAAGTTGACATTGTTTATTGTTCTTCCAACTTTGCCCCCTTTATGATTTTTCGTGTGCATGGCTGCTATATTTTGCACTGGCAGGAACGACTAGGTTTAAAAGAGGCAGGGGTAGAACTAGGCCATGCTATCCTCTTCTTTGGGTGCAGAAATCGGAAGATGGTATGGCTTATGTTTCAACATTTTCCATCTTCATCTACAGTTAGCATGCAGAACTCCATTACTGCTTAAATCTTTCAGTTTTTCACTTATGCTTCTTACATAGAAAATACTTATCTGCTATGCGATTATTTCTCTTTCAAAGCTCCTTATATATCAAGAAAAATTCCCAAGTTGCTGTTTATGTACAGAAATGCATTAAATAAACGATCTTACATGTTGGATGTACTTCCTAGCTTCTTTAAAATTTTACTAATTATTAGTGTTTTGTTTGTTCAGGACTTCATATATGAGGATGAGCTTAATAATTTTGTTGATAGTGGTGTCCTTTCTGAGTTGATTGTAGCCTTTTCTCGTGAGGGTCCTACAAAAGAGTATGTTCAGCACAAAATGGCACAGAAGGTAAACTGGTTATCATTGCTCAATCATGTTTTGTTGAAAAAACATTATATTTCCCCTTTTTTCTACCATTCTTATGTAATCTTCCCAGGCTTCCGAGCTTTGGAGCATCATTTCTCAGGGAGGTTATATTTATGTTTGTGGTGATGCAAAAGGCATGGCCAGAGATGTCCATCGCACACTACATACCATCGTCCAGGAGCAGGTACAACAAGTTTCCCTAAGTTTGCCATCGCGTCACTGTCCCTTGTTGCTTTCTAGACTTAGTTAATTGCGTTACCAAGGGCCAAACTGCCAAAGTAGTGGATGGCTAGACTGCTCTACCTGTTACCCAAGCTTTTGAATCCACAACCAATCATCGATCTTGCAAAGCTTGGCTGACTACTATCAGCAACATCAGAGCCTTGCCGCTTTAGGTCTACCGTGTAACTTTTCTTGCCTTTTTCGAGTAAATAAGCTCTCTACATTTTTTTTTGCGTCCATCTAATACAATTTTTATTGTATTCCGTATTCTGCTTGTTCACGTGTCTTTGTTGAATGTAACCTCATAAAAACGGTAGTCAAATCATGTTGTAGAAAACTGTAATTTCACGCCATTTTGGCTAGTGTCGACCCAGTTACCAACTAAAGATTATTCAGTTCAGTGTTCCTAGCCTTGTTCAGTTTAGGGTTAACTGCTGGTGTTGTTGACTAATATATGGCCTGAACATGTGCTTGCTTGACTTTTGTCGCATGATGCCTTGATAAATCTTTGCTAGTGTTTACAACAGGTACAGATCGTTATTCCGATTCACTGAATGGTACCCTGAATGTGTTTTGCAGGGGTCTATGGACAACTCGAAGACAGAAAGCTACGTGAAGAGCATGCAGATGGAAGGGAGATACTTGAGAGATGTTTGGTGACATATATATATCAACAAAATGTGAACCCCGTGCGTACTGCGAGCTTCCCCGCAAATACAAAAGAGCGTGCTCAGCAGCAAGCTAGCGAAGCACCTAAATCAACATCAGAAGAAAAAAAATCAGAGGCTCCGGCTGGGATCTGATTAGTAGGAAATTTGCATGATCTGTTCGATGGGATACTAGCGATATGGTTCTTTTTTTTTTTATTATAAGAAACAGAAGTTTTTCCCCGCTTTATTTCAAAGTGAGGCACAGCCAGTCACCGCTGCTGCCAGCAGCGATGCTTATGTATAGGACTCTGCAGCGAGCTATTATTTGTTCTGGAAATCATTGCTGTGATTTCTGACGCTAAAGCCTATAATAAATAAAACAGCCATTGGCCTATCACCTCCACTTGTTGCCTTGAACGTCGCAGTTAACCTGTCGATCTGGACACTTTTGCTTCGAGTTCCCTCCTGCTGTCCTGCAAGGCGTACCTCAAAATGAAGAGGAGAAAAAACTTGGATGTACTGTTGTTGACCCCAGGTTTTAGGTGTGGAATTTCATGGAACGAGTTCGGGTGGATACGAGAAATTGCGCGGTGTGTTATGCAAGTCTGCGATTCGATGACTAAACATTGACCTGGCAAACATGATGTCTTGAGCTAAGACCTTGTTTGTTGGATACGTGATGTCTTGAGCTAATAGCTTGTTTGGATGCATATCAACCTGTCCCGTAGATAGGGCTTTGTTTGACTGCACTCATATATATTAGAGTGAAAAATTAACTAATTTTTATTTTAATTTACTCTAAACAAGTCTTAAATTGGAATGGATCGATGTGCATCCAAACGAGTTAGGATGGATGCTCCCTCGGCCAAACTCAGTCACAGGATCCATGCCTCTATGATCCTATCTCTTGTAGCAGCGCCTATGCCAAATTCCGAACAAGTGAACATGCCTGTACTAGTAGCCACCATGTGCCCTTGTACTAGTACTCCGTACGGAATAGACAGCAAGACAGATACGCGGCGGATAGGGGACGCACGTTTTAACCCTGCACGCTCGCTCCGGTGTTTCGCCGACGTAAAAGCCAGGGGACAAGAGGAAAGGGCAGCACTGCTCACTGCTCAGCTCAGTATCGGACACGCCAACACAGCAAAGGTACCGCCCCCGATGCATGCATTGAGGCTGGAAAGAATCGCACCACGCTAGTGTGAATGGAATGGACAGGCTAGTTGGCTTGTCGCGTTCCGCTCTTTCAATAATCAAGTTCAGCAGCCTGCACGTGGCTGTATCTTCTCTGCTGCAGTGCGTCCTGCTCCTGCTCCTGCAGGGGCTTCAGAAGGATCTTGCAGGGCCAGGGCCCTGCTTGTGCTTGGTGCTTTGCTACTTCTGGGGTCTTGTTGTTTCCAACTAAATTCTCAAAAAATGATACAGTAGCTATCACATCGACTCGTGCATAGAGCATTAAATGTAGACGAAAAAAAAAAATTGCACAGTTTGGTGGGAAATTACGAGAGGGACGTTTTGAGCCTAATTAGTCCATGATTGAACACTAATTGCCAAATAAAAATGAAAATGTTACGGTAGCCAAATTCCTAAAATTCGCGAACTAAACAAAGACTAGTACTACTACTCCTAAGATCCACTGACCACTCACCACTGCTCCTGTACGGAGATGCGTGGCGTGGTGTGTGTGTGACGAACGGACGATCACTGACGGGACCAGCTGCTGAGCTATGCAAAGGTTGCTAGGAGGACCAGGCTGGGGCATGGGCATCCGTCGTCGTTTCTTTCTGCTCGCGCAAGATGCAAGGCGTGTTCTTTCTCAATCTCAGCGGGAGGCAATTAATTAGTTGACCCCACACCTGACTGAAGAATATCTGAGGGAGATGAGATCCAGCCGGCTCTCGACACAGCAGCATCGACGTTATCGCATCGTGTAGACCTGTTTGGCAGGGGGCCTGCCTGTCGGCCTCCCACGGGCCGACAGGGCGCCACTGTTCACCGAAGCCTTTTTCTCCTCTTCCTTCCCTCTCTCACGGCGACGGCCGGAGCCGGAGAAGCTCGTTTTTTTTTTTTTTGCTCAGTGGTGCCTGTCGGCCTCCCACGGGCCTTTTTTCACTCTCTTCTCCTCTTCTCTCTCTCACAGCGACTGCCGGAGCTGGAGAAGCTCGTTTTTAGCGGCCGATAGGGGAGAAGTCCTGCCAAACAGGTGATACACATGTTGCACTGTTCACCGGCTTGTTCAGTGTTCACTACCCGGCCGGCCTTTTTGCCTGTCCATCTGTACTGTACCCCCGTTCTTGACTGCGTGGACCTCCCTGCCCATCGGTCCTCGTCGTCTTCTCCACCCACCCTCCACCACTGACCACTCCGCGCAGTGAGTGCATCAGTACAGTGTGCTGTGCTTCCATGGATGAGATGGGATGCGATTCAGATTCAGCAGTAGCTTCACATTTTTGACTGTGTGCGGTGCATCTATGTGTCTGTTTAGTTTCCAAAATTTTACAAAATTTTTTATAATTCCCCGTCACATCGAATCTTTAACGTATGCATGAAACATTAAATATAAATAAAAAATAAAACTAATTACACAGTTTAGACGAAATTCACAAGACGAATCTTTTAAGCCTAATTAAACTATGATTAGACATTAATTATCAAATAACAACGAAAGTGCTACAGTACCATTCTAAATAAATTCATCAACTAAACAAGGCCTGTATAAAAAACAAAACAACGCGCGTACGGACCAACACGAGTGTAACGCTGACAACGTATATATAATTTCATTAAAAAAACATCCGTACCATTATCTTCATATTTGAGTAATTTGACCAACAAAACAAGTTTACTGGTTTCCTCCCGAGGCCTAAAAGTTATATTAAAAAAAAACCATACACATTGAGAAATGGCAACTGAAGTTTACTGGTTTGCTCGCAATGCCTAAAAAATATATAAAATACACATATTGATAAATGCACCATTTTCATTACTCAACACCCCCACCGTCACCAAACCCAAACCCCAATACATATACACACACTATTCTAACTCGTATTACTCACCTCCTTTAATGCACTTTACATGATCTATTTAAGAGTTCACAATTGCAACCGAATAATGATCTTTTATAAAACTAGCATATCGTGCATTGCAAACGGAATGTACAAATAACGCAGTTCAATACATTTTGAAATCATATTCTATATCGTAACTAGACACACATTATTCTAACTCGTATATATAAGCATGGGTCATGTTGAGGCATGGACTAGACATTATACTAATTACGTTACGTACTAGTATGAGAAATGAAATGGACTGGAATGGGTTGATCTATCATCATCTCATTTTTTTAAAAGCTCATAATTAGTACTCTCTTCGTCCACAAAAAAATGCAATTATGGGATCCGTGCTAGTCAAAGGCCCTGTTCGTTTGTCTTATAATCCGTACTTTTCGACTTGTCTTTTCAGTCGGAATAGTATTTTTCTCTCACAACAAATCAGCCGGAACAGGATTTCAGCTTGTTTTTTCAGTGAAGTGAACGGGGTCAAAGTAGCTTAAGTTTGACCAAGTTTATAGAAAATAGTATTAATATTTATGTCTCTAAATAAATTTATCATGAAAGTATATTATATAACTAATCTAACGATACTAATTTTGCATTATGAATATTAGTATTTTTATATAATTTTGATCAAAATTCAAACTGATTGTTTCTCGAAAAGCGAGAATTGTCTTCTTTTGTAAACGGAGGGAGTATTAGTATGAGAAATAGACTTATGACACATCATCTCATCTAGAATAGAGTCATTCCTCAAATCAAGTAACCTGTAAATTTTCCACGCGCCACACTTAACTTGGGACTTTGGGAGGCATCACTTGGGAGTCCTCCAATTTTTCTAGTCTACTAGAAGAAATTAGTCGCGGAAGACGTGCGTGTTCCGGGCTTCCGGCCAGCGTACAGCACATCCAGTTCCGGCACCTCTCTTTATATACCCCGCTCAGGTCACAGCATTCTCGCCCTCTTGGCTTCTACCCTGCAAACACGCGCTCTCATCACCTTCCAAATCACTTCTTCTCGCACTTGTGAAACAAAAAAATTCCATTTTTTTTTTCTTCGATCGATGGAGAACGCGCCGACGTCGCACGCTCATGGCGTCAGCCTCGACCTGCGCCTGGACCCTTCTCCGCTCCATCGCTCCACCTCCGCTGCCGCGCGCGGGGCCGTCGCCGCCGACCACCACCGCCCGGGGGAGGCGTTCGCGTGCAACTACTGCCACCGCAAGTTCCACAGCTCCCAGGCGCTGGGCGGCCACCAGAACGCGCACAAGCTCGAGCGCACCCTCGCCAAGCGCAGCCGGGACATCCTTGCCGCCGCGCCGCCACCGTCGTCCCCGGCCCCGGCCGTCGTCTTCCACCATGCCGCCGCGCCGGAAAGCAGCAACAGGAGGAGCGAGTTCGTGCCGACCACGTACTACTACGGCGCCACGCGGACCGCGGGGGAGGACGACGCCAGCGCCATGGCGCAGCAGGCGGCGCCACCGGGCGTCGTCATGGGCTGGGGCGCTGACACGGCCGCCGCTGATGGCGGCTGCGGCCGCCTCGGCATCGGCCTCGGCGTCGGCCACGCCCATGGACGGAACGCGGAGGAGATCGACTTGTCGCTCAGGCTCTGATCAGATGCTCGCATGCTTCTTAGCTTGTTGATTAGTTGTTGTGTGCCGCCGCATCTGCCGGCGCGCGTACGTCCAGTTCATCTCCTTCTCAGGCCGGCCGATCCGGCGCAATTCGTATTAGCTAATTCGCTCTAGCTACTAGCCTTATCTTTGATCATCAGGTGCTTTAAGCTCTGACTAGTACGTATGTATAGCTGGTCTATATATGATTCATGCAATAACTAATCTTAGATCTATATATAGCTAGACCATTCCATATATATGGTCTCATTTATCTATCTCTGCATCCCTATCATGCATGGACAATTAGACTATATATAATTGTGTGCTCTCTCTATGCATATGGTTCTCCCTTCTCCACATATATAGCCTGTTCGTTTGGCTGTGGCTTGTCGTAAACGATCGTAAATTTCCAGCTGGAATAGTATTTTTCTCTCACACAAACCAGCCAGCAGTACTTCTTCACGAACCAGCAACGAAACGAACCAGCCAACCGAACAGGCAAAATAACTGAAAAGAGTATGGAGTTAAAATATTGAACTTGGAACTATAAAATGTACCGTACGTATCTCTCTATTTGTTCATCCTATCCAGTGCAATGTACTCTATTTGTATTTTCATTTGACTTTTTGGGGGCCTTGTGAAAAAAAAGGTTAAACATCAGCTAAATTTGTATCTGAATATCTATAGGAAAAAAAGGCCCACCAAGCAACTGAGTCTCACCGGCCGGCTGTGCCGTTTATAGGTGCTGTTCTTGCCTTTGCTTGGGTCTTTGGCAAAGTTGTGGCTAGTTAGTTAGCTTTCTTCTTAGGAAGAACTTGCTTTGCCTGACTGTAAGGGTCTTTGCTAGCTCTCCAACTCTGAATGGAAAACGCACTGGCCGGGGCTCTTGCTTGCAGGATTCGGCCGATCCATCAGTAGTAGTTAGGACTCACGATACGATCGACCTACTAGAAGACATCGATCACTTGCTCTGAAATGCTGCAGGGTACCATGCGTGATGCGTCGACACGTCGATCCATCGATGACGAGATGTCTACTGAACACACAACAACATGTATATATGTATGGAGTGTACGCACACTAAAACCCTACACGACTGTTCAGTGTTCACACGCGCAAAGCGCTTGCATGCTCTTTCTGAACAAGTTCTCGTTCTGCACGCATCCAGATGATGTGCCATATTGGAACACCTGCCAATGCAATTCATTCGTGGGGACATAAACAGTGGAAATCTTTTTTTTTTTCGATGTATGATTAAACTCTCGAATGTGGGGTTTTATAAACCGATAACGACGACTATTCAAAGACAGATTGATTTAAAGCAAAATCCAAACCCTCACGATGACGGCAGCAGCTGAATATAAGGTCTAAGGGTCGTCGCTCCCCCTAGACACGCCCCCCTAACGGGCTCAAAGACGATACACGGCCCAACGGACCAAAAACGGTGGCGCAACACCTGACAGATTCTGGACGCTGACTTGTTTCGACGATTTCTGTTGACTCGGTGGAATTTGGGCCTTAAACCAAAGCCATTGGTTAGCTTATAAAATTATCTTTTCATCCATATGTGGATCATCGAAAAAGGAGTTCGAATACGTCCTGGGCGTCCGTTTTATTGCAGACTGGTCCTAAACGCCGAGGCAGACTCGAACTCGAGTTGGACTGGGCCTCCGGCTTGACTTGGACGCCATGGTGATGATCAAGTGTTTGGACTTGAAAAGAAGTAAGAGAAAAACAAAAAGGCTCAAAGCAAAGGTATAAATGGTAGGAGCCATTTCGTTTCGGTGATTAAGACACTTAGCGAGTGTGATCACATTTAAGTTCGATAGCCGTACTATTAAGAGGGATGAAACTTGTATTAAAATACGGTTATCAAAGTGCCACTAGATGCTCTAACTCATTGCATATGTATTTAGAATCTAGTGGAGTGCTAACACCCTTAAAAATATTTGTGAAAATATGCTAACACACATGCACAAAGGTGATACACATTATGTTTAGCACTTGGGAGTAAGGGTTCAAAACTTCACCGGCGCCCTGTATAGAAAACATAGGGTTTCATAGAGTGCACCGTACACTAGTCACACAGTGACCAGACTCTGACCCTGTGTCCGGTCAGTAGCAGCTGTGAGTGCGCGGTCTCGGTCTCATGACCGGATGCTGGCGCAAAGAGTGACCGGACGCTCAGGGCCTGCGTCCGGTTAGTGCTGACGAACGCTGACGTGTTAGTGTGAGGAACAGCTGTGACATGTGGCTGTTGGAGAATGATCGGACTCAGGTGCTGCGTCCTGTCGTACAGGAGCGGACGCGTCCGGTCGCGACTGGAACCTTACTGGAAGTAACCGGACGCTGGGGTCCTATGTTCGGTCCTACACCATAGAGCGTCGGGTCACAACTTAAGTGTAATGATAACCGTTGAGATCGGACGATCAACATTTGAAGCAGGGGACACGTGGCAAAAAATCTGAGGACCGGACGCTAGGGTCCTACGTCCGGTCAAACCGACCGGTGCGTCCGGTCGCCTCAATTTTCAGTGGACTGATGAGCCAACGACTCTATTTTCTGGGGACTTCTATTTAAGCCCCATGGCCGGCTCAAGCTCACTCTCTTGGCCATTTGCATTCATATAGCAACCTTGTGAGCTTAGCCAAAGCCCTTCCACTCATCTCCATCATTGATTCATCATCTTTGTGAGATTGGGAGTGAATCCAAGTGCATTGCTTGAGTGTTTGCATCTAGAGGCACTTGGTGTTCATGTTTCGCTGCGCGATTCTCTTATTACTCTTGGTGGTTGCTGCCACCTAGATGACGTGGAGCAGCGAGGATCGTCGAGTGGAGGTTGGTGATCGTCTCCGGCTTCGATCGTGGTAATTGTGAGGGGTTCTGACCTTTTCCCGGCGGAGAGCCAAAATGTACTGTAGTAAATTGCTCGTGGCTTGTATGATCCTCATCTTGTATTGGTTGTGCGGCACCCTATTGAGGGTTTGGCATGTGATGCCAATTAGCACGTGAACCTCCAAATGAGTGAATCACCATAACGTGGACTATTTTGCCGACAAGCAAGTGAACCTCGGTAAAAAATTATTGTGTCATCATTCGATTCCGAGGTGATCAGTCTTTATTAGTATTCATTCTTGTGATTGATTGGTTCATTCCTCGACTCGGCGGTACAACCATCTTGCTCACTCTCTCTTTACAATACCGTAAACTAGTTGTCAAGCTCTTTAGTGTACCTAGTCGTGAGAGCTTGTTAGTTTGGTTAGTGTGGCTCTTTAGTTAACTTTTGAGAGCACATTAACTTAGTGTAGTGACATAGCCATTGTGTGGATAGAGACTATATAAACTAGAATTATGGTCGGTGGCTTGCATTTTTAGTAGGCTAGCGCAACACTCACTTAGCCTCATATTTGTCTAACGGGGTTGCTAAGTGTTGTTGTAGAAATTTTTAATATGCTATTCACCATCCTCTAGCTATTAGGACCTTTCAGCGTCCCGCGCGATCAGCCGTGCCGCCGTGCTTGGCTGGTCGAGCCACCTAGGCTTGGCCAAGGGCGGCCATAGTGAGCCACTGGCCCCGTGCCCTGCTGCTCTGCCTCACGCTGCCGTCTTGGGTGCCGACGCGGCCGCACTGTGCTGCCGTCGCGTTCGCACTACCATCACTACTCGCATCACGATGCTGCCGCTGTCGTCGCATCATTGTCGTGTCCGCGCTGATCCGCTGCACCTCTGCGCTGTTGTCGGTCCTGTGCATGTCGCCTCTGCCTCACGCACATGGGCGAGCCGCCGTTGCCATGCCATTTATGGCACTGCGGCACGTAGGCCATGCCGGTCAGATGCGCGCACACGTGGTCCATAGCGTCGGCGCGTGGGCCTTCCGTTCTCGCCGCTCACGTCCTGCCAAGGCAAGGATGAGCTGAGCCCACCTGCCGCGCCATCTCTCTCTTTCCCTCTTCTCCCTCTATTTTTCGCCGCCGTCGCGTCGCGTCACAGTGAAGCTAGAGAGCGAGCTCCTCTCATCAATTCCTCGTGCTCGCATCTCCGCCTTCACGTCCCCTCTCTAGCCGACCCCACCCCGCCTTGACTCACGTCATGCCGAGCTCCAATTTTGGAGCTTTACCCTCCACCGTGTCGTTAAGGCCCATCACTGTCCGCGCCGTGGTTAGCCTCCACCACTTCACCTCTCATCAATTCCTCTACACCACTAGCTCGCTTGGCTCCCTCTTCGTCGTGTGCATGCTAGTCACAGCTCTAGTGTCGCCTCCTCGCCGCTGCCGTGGCCGTGCCTTTGTGGTCCGCCGTTTACCTCGCAGCGCGCACGTGGCCAGCCTCGCACAAGTTGTCTTCGGCCGAGGCGGCTTCTTGGTAAGGTCACTGGTGAGTTGTCATTGCTCACCCGTTACCCCTACCGCCTTGTTGTTGCTGCGACTCACCTGAACGTCGTCGCTATTGCCACATGGTGATCGACATCGTGGAGAGGTCCTTCTATGGCGTCCCGGCTCGTGCAACCGCCGCCCATCGTCTCGCGTCGAACCCTAGGTGAGCGTAGGCCTTGTAGATAGGTCAGCATGGGTCCCGTGTGGCCGGCGCAAGCGTCAGTGCCACCGCTCGCCATGATGGTGCGCGCGGGGGAGGCCGAGGACCTTGCCGTTGTAAAGAGGAGGAAGTTCCGAGGGTTTTGTTGCAAAGTCGCTGTCTATAGAAATAGTAACATGGACTGCAGGTTGTTTTGCTCATAGTACAGGGGCATTTTTGCTAATGTGCCAGCGCGTGCGGGACTTCCTCGCCGTGGGTCGCCTCCGCGTGTGGGCCGCGCCTCGGCTGCGGGCCGCCGCACGCTCGCGCGCGCGCGTTGCGCCGCGTATACCGCGTTGGGCCTAATTGAGTTTATCTTTTTCATGGAGAATAGAAATAGCTTTTCATTTTAATTCTGAGTTAAACTTTGATAAATCATATAAAATCATGTAGGTATCCAAAAATTGTGAAACCAATTTTGTTAA